AGCTCCATGTTGTTGTACTGTGCTGCTATTTGCAGCCTTTCATTTGCATTTGCATTTGCATTTCATTTGCATTTCATTTGCTGTTCATTTCAGCCTCATTTCCACAACATTTGCAGCTTTAGCTTGCTGCACTTTGCTGCTACCGTGCTATTGGTGCAGCTCTCCCTTCATTTTGCTGCCATTTTGTGCAGCTTGAACACCACAACTCTAACAGTTTTCTCAAGAAGAGAGAAACAAGAGCTGCAAACTTGATCGGTATGATGACAGGAGGTAATCCTCATGTGTTTTCTTTTCCATTTTCCTTTTGGTAAACCGTTGGGTGGTGAGGGGGTGTTGTGATCTCCTTTTTATTGGTGGTTTATGGATCAAAAGAAAGAAGCAGAGATCATGAGAGAGAATCAAGTTGGGACTGAGACCGAGGGAATAGCTGTGACCAAGGGAGGGATTATGATCATAGGAGCAGAGATCGTGAGAGGTATAGTGATCGAGGTCGTGCTAGGAATTATGAGTGCTTTCAGACTTATGATTCTAGAAGTCACCACAAGTCACATTCAAGGTCTAGGGAACGCTCCAGGGATTATGATCGCCACAGGTACTTAAATACCTTTAATAAAATTAATTCTTCTACTATTTTATTAAGGGTATTTAAGAAACTTATAGAGTAAACTACATTTTTAATATACTGTCTGTCCTATATACTTTTTTAATAGAATATCATTAATCATGTATAGTGATTACTTATTCCATGACATAAATTTGTTGTAAGTTGTTCTCTTATTATTTTATTTTGATGAGAGGCTTTAATTTCACAATGGAAAGCTGTAATATGGATCATACCTTTTCTATGGAGAAAAGTGGTAGCCGTACAGGGAAGTCAAGTTGGCCATGCTTGTCTGTTCTCTTTACTTGATTGAAATGGGAAAAACAAAACTCATTTAACATTGGCCACGCTGTTGTGTGCTTCCCTGGGTAGAAACATTGGAGTCTTGGTAGCACCTCAAGCTTAAGACTTGATACTCTAGGAAATTCAAAGTTCATAATTGCTTCAGCTCCTTGTTCTCCTATTGTGACAATTTCCTTCACCCCGCACCAGTATAAATGTAGTTTTTGGAGTTGCACAAGGCTTTTGCCTATTGAAGTTGGAAACAATATTTTGAGACTCCCACAACGACTTACCTCCACTGATTCCAAGTTGTGAAAAGTGAGTATTCCTCGGGGATCCTTATTCCACACATGCTTCAATCTTGGTAGATCAGCAATAGTCAATTTTCTCAACTTGGTGTCAATTACAACACGTGTTTGTTTGACATTGAACTTGTCAATTTCAAATATCCATTCTAGCGAGCCACATTGATTTATAATTAACTCCTCTAAGGATTTCCAGATTCTTCCCTCTATATCAGCAAATGGAAAAACAGCTGATAGCTTTTCACACTTTTCAATTGTTAATGATTTTAGTCTGCAAAAAGAATCTGCATATAATTTGCTGTGCCATATGATCTCCAAGTTTTTCAAGTGGGTGATAGTCACACATTCCAAGTTGGGAAAAGCAACCCACATAATGAATGAATGCACCATGCCATTGACAGTGAAAGGAGGATAAGGACAATTATTAGTCCCTAAAATTAAAGCTGAAATGAAAATGAAATGCAGTTTTTGGTAAGAAACTATTATATATGTTGTTTGGGGTGATTTATTCTGATATAATGACAATCCTGGTTTAGCTTAAAGTAATTTTTGTCAATAGAAATATATTTCTTGAACTGTATAGCACCTTTAATCTTTAACTTTGTCAGTAATGAGTGGGTAATTTGTCATTTACCTTTGTGCAAAACTTTAAAGCTGCTTAAATTTAGAACAAAAAGTCTTCATTAAGAAACTAATTACCTTGCTGGTGAAAAACGCTTGAGGGTCCTCTTTCTCTAGCTCTCTAGGGAATGTCGAAGCAAATGTAGTACTTCAAATCTTGTTAACAATTCACACTGGAATGTGGAACTTCCCACATAGAAACTTGTCAAGTCTGAACAAGACTCCAGAATAATCTGGCTCAAGTAGGGGAGTATGATCTTCTTTTCTGATCCTTCTTCTGTTATCACATTTTCTGATCCTTCTTCCATTATCACTGCATCCATTCTTGTGCACTGTTTTACCTCCAAATGATCAAGTTGCATAAGGCTTCTGACCATAGGTAGGGTTAACAGGTATCCCAAGCTGTTGCAATTACAAATGTCGAGTCGAAGAAGGTCTCTAAAATCTAAGATTTGAAGACTCTTAGTATGCCAATTTTGAATCAGTTCAGGAAACTCGGAGAGACTCAAATTCATCAAACCAATAAATCCGA